CATGCCCGTGGCGGTGTTAAACGCACCATCGGAGTTACATTTCATCCACCCCTCCAACGGCGGCTCCCAACGAATCATTTGGTCGAGACGTTGGTGACCACCATTCCCTAACTTCCTGAGGCTAGAACTCGCATCTTGAATAATACCAACATAATTCCGGACTTCACATATCTTGCCGTCCACCATGGGAACTGTACCATTAAAAATCAAATTATTCCTTCCTAGCCATAACCGCCAGATGCTAACACCAAAGTAACAATCCCAATACTCATCTGCTATCTGTAATGTATTAGACAGATTGGACTCAAGCCACTCCACTAAATCCATATGGAAAAAATCAGCCCAGCAAGATTGGGGAACTACTTTCTTCCAAAAGTTGGTTGAAAATTCACAGTCCCGTAGCACATGAAGTGTGGATTCCGGGTGGGCTCGACACAACTCACACAAAGGGCTATTTGTAAGATGTCGTTTGCACCTCTCGTTATTTGTCAAAAGCCGATCCTTCGCGCCTCAGCAAACCCAGCTCAGCTACACCCCTCGAGGAAGGCCTCTCGCCCCCTAAAACTCTTTCATTTCGTAAAAATCTACCTCTAAGGAGCGCCTAAAAGAGCAGATCAAGATATAGATCATTCATGTTTACGGCATCAAATTCACATCACTCAATACTCATAACAATAGTTTAGTAAATCATTTCTTAAAATTTCTTTCACAATGGTAAACAGTCGGCAAGGGCACGTGTAGTGTTTAGACGGTGTAGACGGCATGTACACGGGATTAAACGAATTACACGTTTTTAACTCCATTAGTATTAATATTATGACTTATGAGTCTATGACATAGCCATAGCCCATACGCAAATTGCAGATAACATCACAACAGTCAACATCACAGGTGTTCATCTTACAACTCAACAGTTAGTAACACACTGCACGCATATATAGTTCTCACAAAATGGATCAATTTTTCGTTCTCCCGCCCAACCGCTTCTATTTCCAAAACGGACCGTGTAAACGGCCTAAACGGCCGTTTAGGGCGTTTAAATCCGTCTAATACCGTTCCGTTTACACATTTTACACGGTTTTTTTTCGTCTACACGGCTAGCCCGTTTAATTACCGTTTATCCGCTAAACTGCACACCATAGCGCCGTTTACCGTTTAAACAGCGTGTAAACGGCCTAAACGGCCGTTTAGGCGAACACTGGGTTTTACACAAGTAAATTGTTCATTCTTTAGAAAAAAAAAATAAAAATAAAAAAATAAAAAACAATAAAAATAAGAAACGATTTGTGGCAGTCAAATGATCACCTGAATAAGATTACGATGAGGAAACTCCAGACACCGGCAGTGGCGAAACCAGCCGGTCATCACGGGGAGGGTCCAATTTGCCGCGGCGCACTTCCCCACTCCGGCCATCCCGCGGCGCACCACCCCACTCCGGCCATCCCGCGGCGCAACTCCCCCACTCTGACATCTGAAGGGCGCTCAAAAGACTTTTGTGGACGCTCTCAAAAATATTCGCAGGCAGCACCACCCCTAGTTCGATTTTTTTTTAGAAGGACTGGCGCCTCTCCGACAACCTATGTGGTTTCGCCCCTGGATATTTACGTGCATTTTATAGTGATTTTCGTGTCCGTTTTATCATAGTTTGATATTTAATTAGTTATTGTTTAATTAATTATTATATAATTAATTATATATTTAATTAATTTTATTGAACTATGATGAGGTGTTTTATTTGAGTTTTGACAGGAAATAAGGTCGAATTAATTTTTTGATTCGAAAATAGCGTGGAACGAATAAAGATGGTTGCAAGACAATGCATTGGGACGAAGCCCAGCACAAGCTACTTTCTGGAGGGCCCAGGATAAAAGCTTGCCCAATTATGCAGTCCAAAACTTGTTGGCCCAAAATACATTAAATCAAGGGTAGAATAGTCATTTAAGAATCATTAAATTAAATGAAAGTCATCTTCTCCTTCCTCACGTACACAGCACACGTCCATCCGCCATGAAAGCTGCTGAAGCTTCATAATTAAAAGAAAAGCTGCAAAATCCCAGGTATAAAACGAGGAGAACAAAAGAAACTAGAGCATTCAAAATGCATATCATCTTTGAAAATTAAAATTTCACTGTTTCACTGTTTTTCATATATGCTCTTCATGTCTGTTGTTATGTTGTATCATAATCAACTATTGCGGCTGCTACAAGCTGAGGGAATATATATACAAGACATTTACCCTACATGCTCTATTGGATAAGATTCATTTTCCACCACACACTCAATATTAGAGTTTGGAGAGGTTTTAGTAGTTTTGTCTTGACTTGACTTTTGAATGATTTTTGTCTCGTTGCATGGCCATGCTCCACGTTGGCATTGATGTGGCTGAGTAGGGACATAGTCTTAACACCCCCTTCAATTGTACGCATGATCTTGAGGCTAACTTCAACTTATTCCTTGCCCATGCATAAAATTGTCCAGAAATAGCCTTGGTAAAAACATCAGCCACTTGCTCTGTTGCTGGAAGATGTTGAACAGCAATAATCTTCTTCTCAACCTTCTCTCTTATAAAGTGTAGGTCAAGTTCAAAGTGTTTGGTTCTTGAGTGGTTAACCGGATTACAAGCCAAGCAGACTGCCCCTCTATTATCCACCCATATGGCACTATGCTTGTTGTGTTCGATCTTCAGCTCATCAAACAAAGATTGTGTCCATAATATCTCACATGTTGTTTGTGCAACACTTCTATACTCTGCCTCAGTTGAGGATCTAGAAACAATAGATTGCTTCTTTGCACTCCATGACACTAGAATGCTTCCCATGTACATACATAGTCCACTTGTAAATTTTCTGTCATCCACATTTGATCCCCAGTCAGAATCTGAGAAAGCTTGGATATTAAAGTCTGAACGTTTGTCTATTTTAAGTCCAAAGTCCAAAGTCCCAGCTAAATATCTTAAAATTCTCTTAACTGCTTTCCAGTGCTTGTCCAAAGGAGTGTGCATGAATTGACAAACCTTATTGACACTGAAGGTTATGTCTGGCCTTGTGAGAGTGAGGTACTGGAGGGCTCCCACTATCTGTCTATAAAGCTGGCCATTGTTAAAGGGTTGGCCATCAAATTTTGATAGGGGTGGATGACTCACCATTGGTGTGCGGATTGCCTTGGCCCCCTTCATCCCAGCCCTATCCAAAATGTCTTCAATATAAGAGGACTGAGATAGGAGAAGGCCTGTGGATGTGTGAGAGACTTGAATGCCCAAGAAAAAATGCAAAGCTCCAAGATCCTTTAGGGAGAAGAATGATGACAACTTCTGAATAGTGGAATTAATAAGAGAGGGGTCACTTGTTGTTATAAGAATATCATCCACATATGCCAGAATGAAGATGGAAGAAGTGGAGCTGTGTTTATAATAAAGGGAAGTATCTGCTTTTGAGGTAGAAAAACCAAGAGAAAGGAGTATGGAGCATAGTTTGGAAGACCAAGATCTGGATGCCTGCTTTAATCCATAAAGTGATTTCTTGAGTTTGCAAACAAGTGTCTGAGTGGAGATGA